TTGGCAAGCGCACGTGCCCTGTAGCAAAACCCCCCAAAAAAAAAAAAAAAAAAAAAAAACCTACTCTTTGACCTTTATCATTTTCCCCAGAATAAGTAATGGCAACCTTTTTTTTAATGGTTGAATTAAAATTCAAACTGAAGCATATTTCTACTTGATTATAGCTCTTATAAAAGATTTTTAGGGAAAAACTTGGAATGAAACTTGGAATGCCTGCTATTTGTAGATTGGATTTTCAAGGACAGCTCAATCTCATGGTTAATTGGAAGTTAAACGTGTGTAAAAAAGAGATGGCAAAGGCTGATTCTCCTCTCGAGAGGCTTCTGTTTTCTCTTTTCTGTGAGTGCCGTGAATCTTTCTCCTCCCTGGGTCCAGATTCGATTCTCAGTGTATTCAACATCTGAGCTCTCTTTTAAAAATGTGAGAAATGAAACTTTTTCATCATCCCTTTCTTTGAGTTCTGCAAAATCCAATTAAAACTGCTCAGACTTTCTTTTTCTTGTTTGCTTTAGAAGACAGCTCACTGAAAGAGTTCTGTGGTGGTCTCCCACCTGTGGAAGAAGGTGATAGAAAAATTAGCCTGATTATGGAGTTATCCACCCAGGTTTCCCTTCAGACTGAGAAGATCAGTCAGTTGGAAGAAGTTTTAGAGGAAAAGGAAAAAAAGATTCAGCAGCTGGAAGCTGAGCGGGAATCCTATCTTTCCCAAGAGGCCAAGGACTCTCCAGGATGTTTACAAGAAGGTCCAGTTTTCTTTAGTAATCACGTCACTCCTGCAGTCTCTGATGATGATTTGTGAAGATCCCCAGTAATCAATAAATAAATAAGTAAGTAAATAAATACTTATGAAGTGTCATCGAGGTAATATCCAGGACCCAAGTAATCTCACTAGTTCAATTTCATGAGTTTGAAGGAATCCTACAATATTCACATTGGAAAAAAATAAAACAAAGGGAAGCGGTCAGGAGAAAACACTGCAGGCAGCAGTAGTCACGTAACCTACACAGCTGTAGAATAGTATGTTTTTAGCTATTTCTGGTAACAGAGGGGGAGGGAGAAATGCAAAACTAGACAGATGGTGAAAGAACTTAGGATCATCCTCTTATCGCTGCAAGGGAGGGAGTGACACCAATCCCATTTTAGTTTGCAGCTCCATTGTGGGCAGAAAGCTGTCATGGAGGGCGGGCTCCAATTGGGCAATGTGAGAGTACCAAGAGCACAATTTTTGCCAGCAGAGTAATAACCATGAGGTCTGTTTTTTAGAGTCCTCCAGAGGTTACTTCTTTATGATATGCATTTTATTGCCATTAGTGAGGGTAGAAATGAAATAAAGCTAAAGCATTAAAGAAAAAAAGAAGAAAAAAGAAAAATGAAAAGAATGGGTGGATGAATCAGAGCTGTGGTCCTTTGGGAAAAGTGTCCTGGGACATCATCTCCCTGGGAAAACATACAATGTTGATTTTTCCCTTAGGAGCAAGACTAAGACCAAAGCAAAATACACTCTTCTGTTGCAACTGTCCCAGGGAGCTGTGAACAACACAGAGTAATGTCAGGAAAAATGGAGAATTGGCAAAAGAAAATCACTCTTAGTTAATGGAAATAGAAGAAATCATACATATTCCCCTCCCACCCATCCCCCTCAAACGAACTATTTCCACCGAAAGGGAGATGCTAGGAACTAACTGTGGGGAAGACTTGGGTACTTCATTTTTATCACCCTGATACAAAATAACTCAAACAGTACCAACTTTCTCATGAGTATGACTATATTGCTACACCTCAATTTAGTCCAAATAGTTCATGATCATTCTCCTCTCTGTCAGACATGATAGTTGATGTTAGAAATATCATAACATATGTAAGAATCACAACTGTTAATGAGAGTATCATTGAATGTGTGGCTGAGACTGATTATACTGAGGGATGGGAAATGGAAGGGAGAAAAACAAAAGGATGAACATGGGGTAAACCTGATCAGCACTGCTTTAGCGGATATTCTCAAAGGTACTGAGCAAAAGTGAGTGAGCAATAAGAATACATATTCCTGGCCTCTGGACAAGAAAACATTTTAGGGTACTTTGGCTTAGGGCTGACCTTAAGTAGAGCAGCCTTACTTTTGCTCCCAGACTAATAGATAATCCCTAGAAGGAGAATTGCTCCTTTTAAAGAGCGAGTTCCCTAAGTTACTTAACTAGTATGTGATCTGATTATGGATCCTGACTATCTACAAAATGGAGTTTCCAAAACTGATTTTAAAAAGAAAGAAAAAGGAAAAAATCAAGATTTTGAATCATCTACAATAGCTTAGCAATATTAATGCCAGAAGTTCACAACAAAACAAGGGGGACAGTTCTTCAGAGAGGGGTGACTTGCAGAGCCAGAATCTTCCCATGGTTGGGTGTATCCTCAGTATCAGCTGCAGTGGCTACAGCTACATTTGGGTGCAGTTCAATATCAGAAATGAAACCTATCTACAACACACTGAGTGTGAATACACACCCAGTAGGTATTTCTTTACCTTTTTTTTTCTTTTATTTTTTCCTTTATTTTAATATGGAACACTTCACGAATTTGGTGTCATCCTTGCGCAGGGGCCATGCTAATCTTCTCTGTATCGTTCCAATTTTAGTATATGTGCTGCCGAAGCAAGCACTCTTTACCTTTTTTATGGAGTCTACTTCAGCTCCTACAGAATCCACTTCAGAAATCTCTTCTTTCTGGTCTCTCTTTCTTCTTACTGCCCCTAAGCCTTCCTTCTCCTCATTCTTTTCTACCTTCTGGCCCCAACTAGATGTCCCAGTTGCAGGTTTGAAGTTCTGCCCACTGCTCTGGACACCATCATGAGGCTGAGGGTTGGCATGTCCTTACTGTGCATTTCTGGAGGAAAGCTTTAAACCTTTCCTTTTGTTAAGAGTGGGTCATCTCTAAGACAAATGATCATCTCTGCAGTTTTTATATGTTATTATGCTAACCAAGTCTCCATTTCTTTATTTTATCAAAGATTATCTTGATCTCATGGGATATTAGGGGTAAGATAGATGGAAAGTAGGCAGGAAGGGAATGAAAATTGCATTTACGTCCCAGACAAGGGGGGTTGCTAACTTCTAGATCTATTTCCCCTGGCTAGTCCTCAGCATGAAAGCAGCTTTTCAGTGGCGATAAAGTAACGGTGGAGCAGGAGCTGCTATTAATAATTAATTGAGCCTGTCACCTCTAAATATCTAAGGACCAGCCACTGAAGAAGAAAGTACCAAGGGTCACATTACTCTGCGAAGCCATCTGTACCAGAAGCTGATCTTGACTCGGGTTTAGGTTACCTCTAAGTCAGAAGTGGGAAGATCTGGCCTGAAGGCAAATATTTATAGATTAATCTCTGCTAGTGACATTTTAACAAGAATTCTTTACATTTTCGGGGCTTTTTGGGAGGTGGGGGTGAGTGTTATTGGCTTCCGAGGAATTTTTAAATGGGAACATTCACATTCCCAACTGGACCTTTATGCAATTATATGCCCCCAAAGGTTCATTTCCATTATCTATCTTTCCTCCAGGAAATTGAGCGGTGAGCTTCAAATTATGCTAAACACTTTATTCAGACAAACTAAAGATCAAATTATAGCCCACACTATAAAACTGTCATTTTTCTTAAAAGTAAGTTTGCTTTAACAATCCACTGACCTTTAAAATATCTGACATAACTAACGCAAGGCAATTAACATGCTGATAACCCTGTTTCTTAATGACAGTTTACCAAATCATCAGGTAATATATCTGATTCAGAAATAACTGGAGAGGGCCGGTTTTGTGGTGCAGGAATAATGCACCGTTCGGGAGAAGCCAAATCCCACATGGCAAGCATGGTTCAAGTCCCTACTCCAGTCAGCCTGAAACATGGTGGGCACACACATAAGTGTCCATGATCCAGCTGAAAGGCTGGAGGAAAGGGACCGTGGCACAGTCAGTCTCTATGGAAGGTGCTTCTCTCTCTTTTACTTCCTCTCACTCTCCCATTCTCATATGCACACACCGGCTCAATTTGGAATAAAGGGAAAAAAGTGAAAGATAAAATTTTTAGAATCCTGGAGGCCTAGCAGATGGCATAGCAGTTATGTCACTGGACTCCCACATGGCTTATTACAATTCGAGTAATTGTGATTGTACAATTTGCTGGGTGTGTGTGCATGCACGCCCAAGATCCCAAGAGGAAAATGGGAAAGGGATTGGGGTGTGGCTATCCCCAAGGGTGTGTGGGGTGGTGATTTCTCACTTTCTCTTGCACTGTCTCTGTCTCTCTCTCTCTCAGAGAGCACATGCCTTAAGGCAAAAAACTACCAAGAAATTAATAAATAAATGCTGGAGAGGCCAGAAGGTGGTACGGCATTAAAAACTTGTGGAGGTGACCACCTGGGAAGGTCCCAGGTTTGTGTCTGAGACCTCCCTGAGTATACCAGGCATGCACATGCCTGATCTGGGGCATGGAATCAAAATTTTTGGCGATTCTCACTCTCGCTCTCTCTCTCTCGCTCATGGAAGAAGTAAATAAGTAAACCTAAAAAAATTCAAAACAACTAGAGGGACTAGCAGGTGCCATGGTTGTTAATGCGTTGGACACTCCCACATGGCTGACCATGCATGGTTCGAGTCCTAGACCTGGTGGCTTGCTTTCTTACTTTCCCTTTCTCTGTGTGTGTGTCTCTTTCTGGTCAAATGAAACTAAATGAATGAATAAATAAAATCAAGTAAATGGTTATTTAAAAAAATTTTAAATACAAAAAAAAAAACCTCCAAAATTTAGCAAATTAATTTTTTTTGGGGGGGTGGCTATAGGGCATGTGCTTGCCAGGCAGAGAGAGACAAAGAGACAGAAAGTGAGAAATCACCCCCCAGGGGGGATGGCCACTCCGCAATCCCCTCTCCTCTATTCTCCTCTTGGGATCCTGGGCACGCATGCACACATGCTTGGCATGAGTTTTAAGCCACCAGGTTTGGGACTCAAACTGCAGTCGACCATATGGGAGTCCAGTGACATAGCCATTACGCTAACTGCTGGTCCCAGCAAATAAAATATTTAACAAGTAACTCAAGCAATCCTCGAAATTTTTAAAAAACATTTTCAGAAATATATATATTTTTTTTAAATTATTCTTCCACTAGTTATTAACTTTTCTGAAAGTTACACTGAATGTGTGATATGGCTAACCAATTGAAATAAATGTCAAGTTTAACAATTTAATTTTGTTATTATACTAGTGTGTTCCCAAATATTTTCATGACAAACTGAAATCATAGCAACAGACTTATTAAAGACTAGCAGAGGTCCAGCCCTGTAACACAACAGCTAAGTCCTATGCACTGGGAGCCAGATTCCTCATGACCAATCATGGTTGAAATCCCTGTCCTGGCAGCTTGAAAACACCAGGTATGTGAGCATGTGTGCCCAAAGTATCAACAAGATGGAGAATGGAGTAAAAGGGATTGTGGCATCACCACATCTCATTGGGAGGATGCTTTCTTCTGCTTTCTCCCCAGTGAGCACACATTCTCAATGGCAATTTAAAACAAAACAAAACAAAAAATCACTAGTAGAAAAGCAAAATATGGGGAGGAATGAGTCAAATGTTAAGGAGGTGCCTTAGATTCAGACCAGTGAAGGATAACTATAGTTATTTTCTAAGTGCATTTCTGGGGAAAAATTAATCCAATCACACTTTAATTATCTCCTACACTCCTTTCTGGTCATCTGAAACACGATAATTTTTTTTCTACATTATGTTGAACTGAAGAACTTTAATGTCACAAATAGAGA